TGTTTTCTCAGAATTACTCTGACCGATAATAAAAGGATGGTCACCAAACAGTATAAAAGATATTACGTATATTTAAGTCTATTATATTTAAAATTAATCAACTAACTTTGATGTGGAAGTTTAAATCACAACTATTAAATAAAAGAAAATAAACAGTGTTAACTCTATTACAGGGATGTTCAACATGTAGAGTTAGTTGTGTACTTGTATATAGACATGACTTCTAATTAACCTGAAAGCTGTTACATGCATATGCATTTGCTTTTTTTTAGCAGTGTGACAGGCCTTGTGCTTTGATTGTCTCAAGACTGCTTACGCGGTGCTTCAGCAATCCTGAAGAGAAAGAAGTATTGTTCCTGACAGAGGTTAAGTGAGAAAGTGTCAGTGAAAAAGACCAATGTTGTCAGAGCAGTATAGAGAGCAGTATACGTTTGGATCTTAAATTGTTTGTTGATAAGCAGTTGTCTGGGAAGAAATGGGCTTTGGAAGAAGGTGCCACATGCTTAAACCACGGCAGACGAGAGACAGAAGCACCTAGATTTCAGCTCTCAGGCCCCAGGAGGCTGAAAGGAGTATCAGCAGATAAGATGCTTCCTGTCTGCGTGTGTGTTTGCTCATGTGAAGTGTGTGTGACAGTGTGTCTGTGTGCGAGAGAGCAGATGTACTAAAGTATTCAACACACTCTCGCTGCCGATGTTCTTGTCTTTTTGCACAGGTGAAAGTGTGTCATATCTGACTGCTTTAGAAAGGCTGTGCGTCGTGAATGTGTGTGTGTGTGTGTGCGCGCAGTGTGCGTGTTTCAGTCAGTGTGCCAGTAGTGTCGGGGCTGTTAGTGTGTTAGTACTTTGCTAAAAGGGCAGCATGACCTCGTCCCTTCCGTGAGTAAATGCGCATGAAAGCGCCCCAGGGAGTGAGTGAAGTGTGCATTGTTCAGGTCAGTGCCCACACTCTCCAACACTGGATCTCAACGGGATGAGCCGGCTCCTCTCACAGACAGTGTCATTAATATATTTCAAGGAGTGGAAAACACAGCATCTGCTGTTTTGCACAGGGTCTCTTGTGGCACACTGTCTTTTGATGGTATTCATAAAGACTACGAGTGCACAGCAGAAAGCCTACGAACCAATACACAACCACTTGCTGAAGCAGTGTTGGCAATGATGCAATAAACACTTATTGAGTAGTAGAATATTGTTATTATCGGAGTCTTTGACTGTAAGGTTGGGGGGCGGGTTCATTCCACTGCAAGGCAACCTGCCACTGCATGTGGCGAATGAAATTTGAACTTGAACTTGCACCCTCTGAGCTGCAAAAAATTGGTAGCACACTCTGACTTTGTGTTTCACAATATAAGAACAACTTGTGATCCAAACTGAAAGGCTTGTGAGATCCCAAATTTCAGGTGGAGGAGCCAAGCTGGTGCTTCCACTGCTTTGCTTTCCAGAAAATTACGAATTTAAATGATCTAAAAGCACTTTATGTGCTTTTTACATTTTCTACGTTATTGTCGTCTGTCACATTTTGCAGCCTTATGGAAAAATAAATTGAACATGGGAGATTATTGGACAGAGTTCTGGTAATGTCTCTGCAAGAAATCACAGAGCTGTGGGGAGGTGTATTTCTGAACAACTGTGTGCTAAAAATCACCGGTTGGCCCTTGTTTCCTTGAAATAAACCTGGTATGACCAAGAAACCTTTCAATTATTAATATCCGTGGGGGCATGCCCAGCCAAATTGTTTTTTGTGGTTTAGATGTGAGTAACAGTAAGTGCTCCGGGCAATACTGCAATCGATCCACAGTCTCTTTGCTCTTCGAGAGCACACTTGGGCAGCATCGCTCGGATCTGGCCGCTGAACTGGTGCCTCACACCAATAGATGGTCGGGGATGTAATTTGCAGAGTGGGCATCCAGGGGTTTGACAGGTCCACCTGTGGAGGGAAAGAATGTGAGACCTTTCAGCCATGTGTAAATGAGTATTGAGAATTGCTCAAAAAGAAAAGCTGCCCCTGCTCAAGTGTCGTCTACATTTACTGGAGAAAGTGCCACAGCTAAAAAATATTATTTTTATCCTTCAACTTTTTATCCACAAATGCATCATCAGGGAACTGGAAGAGCTCGGTAGTCAATAGAAACCATGGATTATAAATGTGGATCACAATGTGCTCAATAGGTAAAGACCTGATCATAAAGAAATGTATATTTTAAGAATAACCCATCTCTGACATAATCAACATTTTAGAACCAAATCAGCCCTTATAGGCAACAAGAATGTAATTTGATGGGTGATTGGGTAACTGGCTGAATAATAATGAGTGTGTCAAAATGTTGATCATTCTGCAATTTGCTAATTACTGTGTAAACCATCTTTAGAGCAGTGTTGTTCATGTCACATGAATCAAGCTGCACCCTCTTTAATGTATCTCTAGTCACTGCCTTTTCACTGCTGTTGTGTCACTTTTGCACCTAGCTCTCGCTTAGATGTTATTTCAATCGATATACATTTGTTTT